AGGCTGATTCAGAGCACCCTGGTGCGTTGGGGCAGAATCGGGGAGGGGTGCTGACACGCAGGGTGAGGGGCGGGGGTGATGCCCGGGGACACAGGCCGCAGTGTGGGGACAGACCTAGAAGGCTGTTCCCTGCTCCACCCTGGAGCACCGTGGGGCGACTCTGCTGCTGGGCTGGGGCCTCCAGTGATGCGGGGCCAGGAGGGGTTGAGCGGCTGCGGCTTGGAGAATAGGCCTCTAACATAGGATGTGCAGGTGGGGGGCTGTTGCTAGGCAGTCTGAGTCCTGTTGCTAGGGGAGCAGTCCTGGCTGCTGCCCACGCCCCCCCCCCCCCCCCCGGTCCCGTGACCTCTCCCATCCTCCGTTGCTTCCCTGTGAAATGGGAAGGCTTTTCCTTTCGGGTGGCTAAGGGGTGAACACGGCGGTGCGGAACGTCCCCCGGTGACGTCACAGCCGCCCTTGGCCCCGGCTCCGCTGCCCTGGGAGCGCCGAGGGGGAGGGTGACAGGGCGGCATGCGTGACCGCGGCGGGGGCGCTCCGTGTCCAGGCTTCGAGCTGCTGTACCAGCCCGAGGTGGTGCGTCTCTACCTGTCCCTCCTGACGGAGAGCCGCAACTTCAATACCCTGGAGGCCGCGGCCGGCGCCCTGCAGAACCTCAGCGCTGGGAATTGGGTGGTGAGAGGCCCGGCGGGACAGGGAGGCTTTGGGTGGAGCTGCTGGGGGCGGGCTTTGTCCGCAGCGGGAGGGCGGATCCGGCTCGAGGGGGCGGTCAGGGCGCCGCTGGGCGCGCGACGCTGCCCCAGCTGAGAACGCCGTCCCTCGCCGCAGTGGGCCACGTACATCCGCGCCGCGGTGCGCAAGGAGCGCGGGCTGCCGGTGCTGGTGGAGCTGCTGCAGTCGGAGACCGACAAGGTGGTGCGTGCAGTCGCCATCGCCCTGCGCAACCTCTCGCTGGACCGGCGCAACAAGGACCTTATCGGTGAGTGCGGGCACGGGGGTCTGGGGCCCGGCCCCCCCCCCGCCCCCCCGCTGGCGCGGCCTCACCGCCCACCGCCCGCTGCCCGCAGGGAGCTACGCCATGGCCGAGCTCGTGCGAAACGTGCGCAGCGCGCAGGCGCCCGCCCGGCCCGGTGCCCGCCTGGAGGAGGACACGGTGGTGGCCGTGCTCAACACCATCCACGAGATCGTGTCCGACAGTCTGGACAACGCGCGCTCGCTCCTGCAAGCACGCGGCGTGCCCGCGCTGGTGGCACTGGGCGCCTCCAGGTGGGTGCAGGCGCGGCAGCGGGAGGGGCGGGGCGGGGGCGGGGTCTAGGTGGGTGGATTGGTAGGGGCCCCAGGTGGATGGAAGGGGGCCGGTGGGTGGGCGGGGCGGAAGGAGCCCCAGGTGGAAGCGGGGCCTGTGGGTGGGCGGAGTGGGGGCAGGTGGGTGGGCGTGGCTTGTGGTGGGCAGGGCCGGCGGTCCGGCAGACGCTGATCCCCGCCTGGGCCGCAGCCAATCGGTGCGCGAGGCGAAGGCCGCATCGCACGTGCTGCAGACGGTGTGGAGCTACAAGGAGCTGCGCAGCGCCCTGCAGAAGGATGGCTGGAGCAAGGCGCGCTTCCAGGTTAGGCCCGCCCGCCCCTTCCTCTCACTTCGCCAGGCCGGGTACCCCACGGCAGCGCCCCGACCCATGTGTTCCCCCGCCACAGTCAGCTGCTGCTAATGCCAGGGGCCCCAAGGCAGCCCCGAGTCCGGAAGGCTTGGACGACAGCACGCTACCACTGGTGGAAAAGAGCCTGGGTGAGTATGGGGCCGGGGCCCATCCCGAGGTTCAGTTGTGCCCCTCCTCCCGGCGGAGGGCTGGAGGAAGGTGGGCCTTCCTCCAGGAAGATGGCCCCCACTCTTCTCGCACCCCCTCCCCCCGGGGTGTTCACCTTGGCACCAAGCTGGGGGCGGCTGTGCCAGGGAACAGATGTTGGTGACAGGGTACCGAGTGGCTGAGATCATGCTTGGGCCCCCACCACCACCTGCAGCCAGCCACCCACCCGCTCATGCCTTGCAGACGGTGAGAAGCCAGGCGGCCGGGACATGATCCCCATGGAGGCACTTGGTCCAGGTGCGGGCAGGTGCAGGCTGCTTGCTCCTTGTGTGGGGAGGGCCTTCCAAGGAGGTGTGGTTGGAAAAGTGATTTGATTTAGGGGTGCTCAGGGGGCGAGGGACGGGGCAGCCAGGGAGAGGTCACTGTCCAGACAGACTGTTTGGTCTGCCACTTGGGGGCGGCTGGAGGGCTCTGAGCTGGGGGAGGGGGGCAGCAGGGGGAGTAGGGACAGATGAGAAGACCCGGCTCAGCGGAGTCCGGGCGGATTTCCTCCCCAGTGCACCCTGGATGCTGAGGGACAGCCACACCTCAGTGCCTGCCTCAGGGTCCCCTCTGCCTCCGCCCCGCAGATGGCTACTCCACTGTGGACAGGAGGGAGCGCAGGGCTCGAGGCAGTGATCCCGTAGGGGAGGCCTCTGAGAAGGAGCCGCTGAAAGTGAGTGGCCTTGGGCAGGTGTCCGGAGAGGTGGCATGTCCTGGGAGGGCGGGCTCGGTCCGAGGCTGCATCCACACCCTCCCTGCTCGGTCCTGCCCCCACGGCAGCCCCACCGCCTGCTCTGCGCCTGCTCCTGTATCCCCAAGCCCCGCTGACGTTCAGCCCTTGCCTGGGGAACCCTTGCACACGCTGGGAGGGCGGGCTCGGTCCGAGGCTGCATCCACACCCTCCCTGCTCGGTCCTGCCCCCACGGCAGCCCCGCCGCCTGCTCTGCGCCTGCTCCTGTATCCCCAAGCCCCGCTGACGTTCAGCCCTCCCCTGGCACCCACCCCTGCCCTGCTGACCAGCCCAGCTCCCACCCGCCAGCTCATACTAACCTGCTGCGTTCTGCCTCTAATGCCCGCCTGCCCACTGCCCGCCCGCTGCAGCCCGACCCCAGCAGGAAGGCTCCTCCGCCCGGGCCCAGCAGGCCTGCGGTCAGGCTGGTGGACGCTGTGGGGGACGCCAGGCCTCAGCCTGTCGACTCCTGGGTCTAGCTTGCATGCCCGGTATGTCCCCTCTGGGTTCTGCGTCGGGGTGGGGCCTCCTCCTCGAGCTGCTGCCTGCCTGCCTGCCCCGCTCTCCCTGCACGCTTCCTGCAGGGCCGCCCGAGCTCAGCAGAGGGAAGCCCAGGGTGGGGGGCAGGTCGGGGGGGCCCCGGGCCATTGGAGCCTGGAGGTCACAGGGCGAGAGCAGGGCTGATCCCCCCACACCTTCCAACGCCCCAGCACAGGGACCCCTGAGACCCGTCTTCCCACAGTGGCCATCCCCAGGGCTGCTCAGGCTTCCCCTTTCTGTCCGCAGGGTCTGGGCCCGACCGTTTGCTCTTAGGGTCTGACCTCTGGAGAGACCACGGGAAGGGGCCTCTGGGTGCCCGTGCAGACCCCGCTGTGGAGGTGGAAGCCCTCTGGTGGCAGGCGGGCGGCGCCTCCCCCTCCGGCCCTGGCTCCCTGCTCCTAACTCCCAGGCGAGTTAGCTTCCTGACATGGTGCTGTGTGCAGTGCACGCCCAGGAGGCCCAGGCCAGGGCACCCGGTATTGCTCTGGGGCCAGCAGGGCCCCCCAAGGAACGCGGACGGGCAAGGAGGGGGCTCAGGGCAGGGAGTCTGGCCCCAAGGCTGCAGGGGCTTCCCTGGGCCCTGAGCGGGGGCGGCGCTCAGGGACAGCCGTGCAGAGATCCTGGAGGCAGCGAGCGGGGGGGCTGGCTGCATGGCCCCACCCGCCCGCCATGGCTGGAGCCCCTCCCTGGGCACTGCAGCCCTTGAGTAGCACCTCTGGGACTGGCCTTTGGCAGCAGTGGGGGACTGCTGTTGAGTGCCTGCTATTTGTGACTTAAAAACCAGAAAAACACTGATAAAAAACATTATAAGAAAACCAAACTAAGACTGTATTGGTAAACATCTAAATTTTTGTAAGAAAAATTAAAAATTATAAAAAGCAACAAAGGAACTTCCCGTGTCTATCTCCGTCCGTAAGCCACTCCCCTGTTGTTTACTGGCCCCTCTGGGGGTCTACTGCATCCAGGCCCCCGGGATGTGTCCCCCATGTGGCTCCTCTCTACACAGTGTGTGGGTTCAATCCCGGGTAGTTAGCGGGGCCCCGACGACTGTGGCTGGTCTTGGGCACAGGCGGGCTCGGCCAGAAGGGGCGATTTCGGGGTGAGGGACCTGGGAGAGCCTCTGAGGCAGCCAGAGGTCCAGCCAGCCGCTTGAGGGCCTGGGGGCTGGAGGGCCAGGGTCGGGGCCGCGGGCACCTGTGGACGTGAGTGGGTGCCGGCCGACCACGTCGTCACAGGCAGCCAGGCCGCCACGGAAGCACTGCAGCTGCTCCGACTGCGCCATCTCATCCCCAGACCAGGCCGAGTGGGACGGGGACGCAGTTTGCCCAGAGCCACACCAGGCCCGAGAGGCTGGGTACTGGGCATTCCGGACCTGGCCCAGCACTGGTTGCTCAGAGCAGCCTGCGGGCTGCCTGGGTCCCCAGTAGGGCTCAGCCCGGCCCGCAGACATCCCCGTGGGGCCGTCTGCAGCGGCCGAGGGGAGCGGCGGGTGCCTGGTGCGAAGCTGGGACATGGGGGCAGACAGAGCAGCACTCAGGTCCTGTCTCACCTAAAGAATCAGGTCCTTACTTTCTACCTCACTGTCTTCTAAACAGGGTGTTAGTCTGTGAGATTGGTAGCGGCTGATTGTAGAAAAGTTGCATTTCATTCTTAAAAAGCAGGCGTGTTTAAAAAGCAGTGTGTTTGGGGGGCGGTGTGGGGGGGCGGTGATCACTGAGGCACTGCTGCCACCTGGTGATGGCAGAGCGCAGGTGCCGGCCCGCAGAAGGCGGATTGTGGGGGGGGTGGGGGGAGAGAGAGGGAAGGAGGGAGGGGGAGAGAGGAGAGAAACAGGAGAGAGAGAGAGGGAGGAGAGCCAGGCGGGGAAAGAGAGGAGGGAGGGGGGGAGAGAGAGTGTGTGTGAGATGGTGTGAATCTGAGATGCTGTGTGAGTGTGTGACTGCACGTGTGTGTGTGTGTGCACGCGACACTGTCACGTGCACTGCTTGCCTAGCGGGTCTTCACAGGCAGGCACCTTCTAGATGTACTGCCACGATTCTGGAAGGGGAGCTGGGCATGCTCGGGGCAGGCCAGCGTGACAGCCTGGAGCTGACGAGAGGCAGCCACGGGGCTGCTGGCCTGAGGACAGGCCAGCGCTACAGGGCTGGGGCTGCCTCACCCTTCAGGGCCGGGCGTGGCGGGGGATCCTGCACAGGGCTGTCCGGGCCCTTGTAGACGACCTTCTCCAGGCCGTCTACCACCTTGGAGTACTCCAGGTACGAGCTGAAGTGTGAGCACGTGAAGCGGCTGCTCCCGCGCACATACTCCAGAAAGTCGGGCGCCCCAGGAAAGATGACGTTGTCGGCCAGCAACACCGTCCCCTTCCGCAGCAGGCCGCACTCCTGTGGGGACAGGCAGATGGCTGGAGGGCATGAGGGCGGCCTGAGCGGGCAGGGGGACCCTCAGGCCCTAGGACAGAGCGTGGCACACAGCAGGGGCTCACTGCACGCTGGGGGACATGAGAGTGCAGATGGTGGGGCCCAGATTGCGGCCAGTGGGTGCCAGCAACACGGGCTCCTCTGGGTCACCAAGATGCCTGGTGACCCGTGCGGGGGCTGCTGGCATCGGTCACTGGAGGTTCAGTAGGGTCCGACCAGGGGGACCCTGCAGGGCTGGGGGGCAGACCTCCACACCCACAAGCCTGCCCCTCAGGTCCACCCTGAGGCACCCCAGTCTCCACCAGCACCTGGGCAGTTGGCCAACATGTCAGGCCTGGCTCTACAGAGGGAGGGGCAGCTGCACTTCTGTGCCCACCAACCTCACCCCCAGTCTCTCTCAGCTGGAGGAGGAGATGCTTGGTGTGTGTGAAACTTGCTCAGTCGTGTCCAACTCTCTGCGACCCCAAGGACTGTAGCCTGCCAGGCTCCTCTGTCCATGGGATTCTCCATGCAAGAAACTGGAGTGGGTTGCCATGCCCTCCTCCAGGGCATCTTTCTGACCCTGGGATGGAATCCAGTTCTCCCACATTGCAGGCAGATTTTTTTTTTATCATCTGAGCCACCAGGGAAGCCCTGCTTAGGTTATATCAAAAAGCAAGAGGAAATGTTTCCCTGATGAAGGAGTGAAGGGACAGCCCAGCTGCTGCGCTACATCAGAGCTTTCTCTACATGATCATTAAAGTGGGAAAAAAAAAAACAATCCCCCAAAAGGAAGGTGAAGTCAAGCAAGAGGCCCCAGGCGTGTCTTAAGTTGCCAGTGGGACCCCAGGGATGGACGGGCACCCCCTGGTGACTTAGGAACACGGGGACCACTGGAGTGGGTGCAGCCCTCAAATCTTCCTGGTGGCGGCTGCCTCCCTTCTGTCCCTGGGCCCTGAGGCTGGAGTGGAAAACACAGCTGTAGAGGTCGGTGAGGTTGGGACAACCCATGAGCCAGAATGTGAAAAAAGTGGGCCTCTGAATCGTGGAGCATTTCTCCTAAAAAAGGAACTTCCCCATGATACTGACGAGGAAGGGCCGCTGGGAGCAGTGGCCCAGGCTGCTCAACCCTGGGAGGAAACGCTCAAGGTGAGCTGGGGCTCAGCACGTGGGGCACTGAGCCCATGGGTCAGCCTCAGAGGAGAGTGATGCAAAGGCCGGCCGTCTGCGCGGGGATGAAGCCCTGGAGAGTCTGAACCAGGCCGTGTGCCGGCACTCAGAGGACCAGAGCAGTGTCCCCTGTTCCTGACCTCCGTTCCTTCTGCCCCGGGTGCGGCTTCAGGTCACGAGGGTGCCAGGCCTCCCCCTCCGTCTCCGGCCGCCTTGCTGTAAGAACACCAAGCAGCCCATGGAGAGGCCTGAGCGATGGGGACAAAGGCCGCCTGCCCTGTCAGCCCCTCGCCCGAGCGAGGCGGCATGGCCAGGCCAAGGCAGGGCCAGCTGCAGAACACGCCTTGCCTTGAGATGATGAGCAGCCATGAACAAGCGGCACTGAGAAAGCTATTAGGCTCCTACTTGCCAAGGGCAACAGGGCTTCCCTGGTGGTTCAGATGGTAAAGAATCAAGCCGCACTGCAGGAAACCCGGGTTCAATCCCTCAGTCAGGAAGATCCCCCTGGAGAATCCCACGGACAGAAAAGCCCGGCAGGTACAGTCCATGGGGTCACAAAGAGTTGGACACAACTGAGCAGCTAACACCTCCACTTCCAAGGGTGGTATCTGCTGCTCTCTACGGATGCAGGCCATCCAGAGTGCTCCCCGAGGCCCGCCCGCCCTGGCCCAGGCCCCGACTCCTCTCTGTGTCCTGACTGCACACAGGCCAGCCCATGGCTCCCTGGCCACCCTCCGCAGGGCCCGACCCAGCCAGCACGCACAGGGCTCACCTCCAGGAGAAGCGTGTCCGGCAGGTAGCGGTTCTTCCAGTGGTCGATAAAGACCATGTCCAAAGTGTCCACGTCATATTTCTTCTTCAGCTGGGGGATGATGTCCTGGGACGCTCCAAGAACAACGGTCACCTGGAACAGACCCCCACCCAGTGAGCCTGGCAGTTCCGGGAGACGGGTCCCCGCTCTGGCCCACCTCCGGGAGTCTCCCGCTCTGCGGACGGGTCTGCTGGCCAGCTGGTAAGCATGGCCTGGAGCCGCTGGGATGTGACCCCAGCCTTCCCGGCCCCCGGAGCCTGTGCCTACATCCGCCATCTCAGGGACAGTGCCGCACCTTGTCCCGCAGGCCTGCAAACTCCACCATCTGCTGGGTGATGGCCGCATATTCGGGGTTGAGCTCGATGGTGAGCAGCCGGGCGCCAGGCAGCAGCAGGCGGGCCATTCGCACCGCCGAGTAGCCGCAGTAGGCGCCCAGCTCCAGCAGCACTGACGGCCGCTGCTCCCTCAGCACGCTGTCCACGATCTGGCCTGGGGGGGGAGGGGGGATGGTGAGCAGGGGGCTTCCCACCCCCCGCCCCGTGCTGGCCCAGCGCCCTCCGGCCAGCCGCAGGCCTCACCAGGCTCAGCCCAAGCTCCTGCCCCCAGGCCTCTGTGCTTCTGCACGCGCTGGTCCTCCCCTCCCAGCATTCCCGGCTACCCTCAGCCTGGCCCCACCCAGAGCCGCCCTCCGTGGAAGCACCACCCCACTCCCGCCCCGGGCTGCACAGAGAGCCTGCCCCGCTCCCTTCAGCTGGACACAGTCGGAAGGTTCAAGGCTGCTGGACCGCTGGCTGCCCTGAAGTCCATCCCCAGGGTTCACGTCCGCTGTCCTGACTTGAGGCGGGGCGAGGCCTGGCGCCCCCGCAGGACTCAGTCCAAGAGTCTCCATGCACCCTGGGGCCAGCCGGGACACCCAGGGACCCATGGCCTGCCCTGGGGGGCACCTGGCTCTGCCTGGCGGCTGTGAGCGAGGAAACCACGCAATGACTCTGTTGTTCCCCGTCCCCGCCCCCTCCAGCACTGGCTGGGGCTCCCAGGCGGCACCTCCTGGAGTGGGGGGCAGGGCCCGAGCCACCCCGCCACCCACCTTTCTTATCGCCCACGTGCATGGCCCACTCCTTCTCCGAGCTGTAGCCGTCGATGGCGGCCACCACGCTCTCCGGGTCCCCGGCCACCGCGTGCTGCAGCACGTGCTGGAGGATGCGCTGCTCCTTGCTGCTGCCCATGAGGAGGTTGCGGACGGGGTTCACGATGAACTCGTTCCAGCAGATAAAGGCCAAGCCGAAGAGCCGCAGGTCCAGTGGGGCCAGCCACCGCAGTGCGAGCAGGGCCAGGCCGACGGCACCAGCAGCCAGCAGCAGGGGCGGGGCCTCCAGCATCTGCGGGGCGAGGGGCGGGGCTTCAGGGCGGGGCCTCCAGCAACTGCGGAGGGGCGAGGGGCGGGGCGGGCCTTCCGGGCTCTGCGAGGCCCCGCCGCCCGCAGGACCCGTGGGAGCACGTGGTCATCACGGTGTTAGTGACCGGCCCGCCTGGCTGACCCACCCGTGAGGTTCAGCCCCGTGAGAGGCCAGCCCCGTGCCCGGTGGCCAGACTCAGGGGATACGGCCGGGGCCCCGCCCACATGCAAACCACGTCCCCCAGGGACTCCGCCCTGGGTGGAGAGACGGGGTCTCGGGCAGCCCAGAGCACTAGGCTGGCCCGAGGCTGGACACTCCCCACAGGGGCGGCCAACCGCACGCAGAACCCCCTGGCGCACACACTGGGGACAGCCCGGAAGCTCGTGTGGCCAGAGAGCTTCCGGGCACGGACACAGGCAGCCCCAAGCCGGCTCTCTGGGGAGAGCAGACAGGCAGCAAGACGCCGCTCGGAATGTCCCTCCAGCCCGGGACACCACGGCAGTCTCCCTGGTCCCCGCGGCACCGCCAGGCCAGCAGGTGCACCACAGGGCCGGAGGCAGGTGGGGGGAGTCTGGAGGTGGGTGGGGTGGGGCCAACCGCACTTCCGGGATGGGTGACAAACACAACAGGGGCGCGTGGCCTGCAATGGCCAGCACTGCCCGCTGGGTTCCGTTCTGCCAGCTCAGGAGCCCCAACCACACACCTATGTGACTATCATCACTGTGTTCAGCAGCAGTGCAGAGAGGCTGGGCCACTCTGATGTATTCTCTGGGTTGATGAAAAAAACTAATCAATGTTACACGTAAATATAAATATATAAAAAAAAAAAGTAGTATTCCATTTAAAGACCAAAGTCCTTGGTGGACCCTGGAGTTGTGAAGGATAGCTTGTAATTCCCACAACAACTGAACTGTATAAAAATTGGGCGAGGACTCAGCCGCCTGACGGCCCAGGTCTGCCGGGAGCTTCATGCAGTGCCGGGGACCAAGAACAGACCCACCGACAGAACCAGGCAGACGTGCTGGGAGGAAGCCCTCCAGTCAGGGCTGGGCAGACCCCTCCTTGGGGAGACAACCCGTGGGGCCCCTTGTGCTGTGGGTCCCAGTACTGGAGCGCCCATGGCTCTGCCCTTTGGAAGGGCCACAGTGAGGTTGCTCGGTTCCCCCGGCAGTGGCCTGAGGTTCCCGCCGCCCCGCGTGGCTCCGGGCCCCGGGAGGCTGAGGGCCCCCACTGCCCTGAGAGGAGGACGAAGGAGCCACTGGCCAGAGGTGAGGGCTGGTGGCCGAGCAGCACCTTCAGACCCCCTGCTTCGCGTGTCCCACACGAACCCCCTGCTTCCGTGTGCTCCACTCGCGTCCAGAACCTAATTTTAAGAAATAAAACCATAAAACTCGTAGAAGAAAACACAGGAGTAACTCTTCATGACCTTGAATTTGGCCATGGATTCTCAGACACGACACCAGAAGCACGGGCAACAAAAGAAAAATAGAATTTCACCAAAATGAAAGCTCTGTGCATAAAAGGACACCATCAAGAGAGCAAAGGACAACCCAGGGGGTGGAGAAAATATCTGCAAACCACCTATCTGATGAGGGTTTAAAATCCTAAATATATATAAGAATTCCTACAACTCAGAAAGAACCCAGTTCGAAAGGGGACAGAGGACATGAACAGATATTTCCCTAAAGAAGACACACCAGTGACCAGGAAGCACATCACTTGGGAAGTCTGATCAAAGCTTCAAGGCACCACTTCACATCCCTGGGATGACCCGCCCCGTGCTAGCGGGGCCACGGAGAAATCGGAAACTCAAGCATGGCTGGAGCAGCTGCTGTGGAAAACAGTTGGCAGTTCCTCAGAAAGGTAAATACAGAGTTACCACATGACCCAGCAATTCCACCTCTGGGAGTGGACCCAAGACGCCCGAGAGCAGCGGCTTGAACCCATATTTGTCCACCCACGTTCAGGACAGTGTGAGGCACAGCGGCCGCGAAGGGACACGGCCCGCAGACAGATGAGGTGTGGTCTCTCCGCACACTGGGGCATCCCTTAGTCACACTAAGATGACTGCACCCTGACCCTGTCCCACTGGGAGGGACGTGCGGACACCTGTGACTTCACGGAGGGACCAGGGGGACGTCATGGTCAGTGGGATGAGCTGGACGCGTGAGGATCAATTCTGAATGATCGCACCTGGATGAAACGCGCACGAGGGCAAGCTCACTGAGACAGGACAGAGAACAGAGGCTGCCAGGGGCGGGGGGCCGCAGGGTAACTGCTGAAGGGGGCAGAACTTCTGCCTGGGGTGGGGCGGGAGCTCTGAAGACAGAGGCAACAGCTACGCAGCCACGTGGACGCTCGATGCTACCTAACTGTACGCGTGCACATGCTTAGAGTGGTAAATTTCAACTTATGCATGTTTCACTGCATCAAAAACGGTGGAAAACCAAGAAAACAAGCAACCCTGTTTCTGGTCCTCTCTGTTCCCAAAAGAAAAAGGAAAATGGCACCCCCACTGGGAAGCAGGATCCAGAAAAACCAGCCCAGCTCCCAATTTGCCTGCCTGCGGGCCTGCCCCCTGAGCCTGGGCACCTGCCCCACCCCACCCGGAGGCACACACTCACCCCCTCTGGGAGAAGGGGAAGGCAGTAGAGTCCCTCGCTTCCTCCCCAGGCTGGTGTGTGTTCCCCGTGCCCTAGAGATGGAGCACAAACCTCTCACAACAGCAGCCACAGCCCACCCTCAAAGCTTCCTTATTATAAGCCCGTTCTTAACTGTTCTTCTTGCAACCCCAAGACAGACCCTCCATCACCTCGGATCGCCACCTATGCTCCTCCCGATAACCCCCAAGGGGCTGATGGAGATGCCGGCCACGGCCCGGCCCCCTCAGGCCCAGGCGGGGGCTGCAGACTACCCACAAATTCTTCAGTCCCTTGGTGCTGAATCTGCTAGGGCTCCGCATGTTGGATGGGGGGTCTTAGCCAGGAGTCACACAGCCCGGCCCCGCCTCCCCAAGAAAGGCAGGCCTGAGAGCACGGGGGTCCGTGGGGGGCAAGAGGGGCAGGCAGCCCCGAATCCTCACGAAAGGGAAACCTGGCGGCTGCCCGAACTAGCGATGCGCCTGGGCTGGGGCCTCTGCGCTTGGGTGGTGTGGGGGACGGCGTGGGACACAGAGCCCCGGGGGGCTGTGTCTTCGTCTCCTGTCCTGTGTGATTCTGGCTCTGGACCCGCAGACCACAGGCAGGACAGCTCTGCTCCTAGGCTGGGGGGTCCCAGCAGCCTCGCGGACAGGAGCCGCCCAGCTGGCTCCACCCAGCTGGCTCCATCCACTTCCTCCTGGTCAGCGCCGGAGCACGTGGGCCTCAGGGGCTGCCAGGCCACCGGCCCACCACGCCCTCCTCCCCCAGCCCCTGACTCCTCCGCCCTCCTCCCCGGCCCCTCAATTCCCCCAGCCCCTGAAACCTTGGGCCCCCTGGCGCCTCTCCAGGGACTCAGGGATCCCCCAGAAGCAACTACCTGATGCTGAAAAGGAAAAAGAACAGTGAATTGGAAGCATTTAGTCTGTGCCTCCCTGAGATGATACATCAGGGTCCAGAGGGGCTTTCAGGCGTCACACCACACGGGTGTCAACCTGCCCCACTTGCTACAACACGATTCAGATTAAGATACCAAATGAAGCAAAGACACAGTCCAACTCTTACATAAACTAGTGGGTTTTATGTAACTGTGTTTATGACTGATGCATAGCTAGGCATAAATTTTTATGTACAATTGTGTTTTTTTAATATACATACGCTCCTTCCCCACCTCCAGATGGTATGACCAGATCAAGTTCTGCAATGCCTTCCAGGGACTCTATCCTGACTGGCTTCCAGAGGAACGGGCACTTACGTAAAGTAAACCTTCCTAAACTCCCAGAGATACAAGCACCAACTCAACTGTTTTTCTAGTTCATGTACTTGGGTAAATCTTTGCTAAATAAAACCAGCTTAATAGTGTTCATCTCATAAAATAGGTGTCTCTTTAGAGTTGTCAACATTACATACATTGCAACACACTTAAATCTCCTTGGTTGACTAGTCAAACAAGCTGGTATTGTATTGATTAGGTATTTAAGGTTATAAATTTGATTTTAATCAAATCCAGTCACTATTCTCTCTCTCTCTTTTAATATTCATTTATGTATTTGGCTGCACCAGGTCTTAGTTGCAGCGTTTGGGATCCAGCTCCCCGACCAGGGATCAAACCTGGGCCCCCTGCATTGGGAGCACAGAATGTCAGCTACTGGACCACCACGGAAATTCTCCAGTCACTATTCGGACAAACTTTCTTTCCATAATGTGTTTCAGTCTGCCTAAAAGCAGTTTCCAAAATCTTTTTGGTAACTTGAAACCTTAAAAGTTCTACCAAGTTAAGTTAAACAATAGATATCCCGTTGTTTTGCCAGAAGTTTTCCTTTCATTTTAGGTTTGAGGCATTCGTCAAAAAGAGAAAGCACTCGTTACACACAAACAAACAATTTCACTTTTTAACAGAAGATTATCCAAACCTAACCTCAATGTCCAGGGACTTGCCTCGTGGCCCGGTGGTTATGAATCCGCCTGCAAATGCAGGGCACACAGGTTCGATGCCTTGTGCGGGAAGACTCCATGTGGCGTGGAGCAGCGGACCCTGCATGAGCGGCTACTGAAGTCCGCTCCAACAGGGAGCCACCACAACGAGCAACCTGTGCTCCCCAGCTCGGGAGCAGAGCCCACTTGCCGTCCCCGGGAAGGCATGGCAACAAGACCCAGCTCAGACGAAAGTAAATAAATAAGACAATTTTTTAAACATCCCCAAATACAGTCATTAGGAAAAAAGAAGTAAGAGAGGAGTAATAGTGCATACACCACCAAACTGAGCCTACATCTACACCCAGACTTTCACAGTGTGGGGAGACCCCACGTCACAGCGGTCTGGAGCCCCAGAGGGGAGGGTCCTGGGTGGTGCCTCCACTGCACGGGCAAGACTTCAAACTGCAGCTCTGGGGGCTCCACTTATAACCCCAGGCAGCAAACTGATACTATCATCGGTTTGTGCACAAAAAAATTGCAGTTGTGGTTTAAGTTTCACAATGCTGTTTGTTTCTCCTTGTGAGTCCTAAGATTCCTTAGACCTCAGGGGGCTGGCTGGGTCCACAGGGGCTTAAGAAATTCCAAGACCAAGTCCCTTTCTTATCAGTGCTGCCTGCCTTGCCGGTAGGACCGACGTGCCTGCGGGCAGGTGGTCCAGGATGGGTCAGAGGTCAGTCAGAGGCCTGCTCCCCTACTCCTGAAGCCTGAACAAGACAACCTCCATTTAAATTTCCCTAACGTCACTGAATATCTGTATAACTTCTATATAAGATAAAGTGCTGAAACACTCGTGATTAAGACGGCATGAGTTTAAGTTTCTATACTTTGGCTTCTGATGTTTGTATAACAAAGAAGCTAAAGACATTTGAAGGTGAAAGTGTTGGTTGCTCTGTTGCATCCGACTCTGTGCGACCCCGTGGATTGCAGCCCGCCAGGCTCCTCTGTCCATGGGACTCTCCAGACGAGCACTGGAGTGGGCTGCCATGTCCTCCTCCAACCTTACAGATTATGCAAGCCTATCTTCACAAAATTTGCTCATCTGCTACAAAATACTGGGATAAGACAGATAATTTGCAGTTGTCTACTTCCTTGTTCTCTCTATAAAATAAAGGCTGCTAATGGTTACAAACTTCAATCAACACATGAGAATAAAACTACTACTAGTCCGAACAAAGGAAAACAACTTTGTCCACAAGGCAGGAAAACGAAGATATGTTCTTACGCGAAAAGCACGCAGAGAATGTGGAATACGTTTTTGTTGAGGGAGGAGAGTCATTTTTGTCCTCAAGCAAAATAATAAAGGGAGACAGGGTTCCCCTGGTGGCTCAAGGGTAGAGAATCTGCCTGCCAATGCAGAAGACACGGGTATGACCCCTGACCCGGGAAGACCCCACGTTTAGCGGAGCAACCAAGCCCGTGTGCCCTCGAGCCCGCGCTCTGCAACAAGAGGCCCGTGCACCAGACCCATGAGTAGCCCCCGCTCGCCGCAACCAGCAACGAAGACCCATAAAAAGTAAAAAAAAGAGGGAGACAAATCCTTGTCGACTACAAACTCACCGTCTGCCTCCACAAGGGTTAAGTCACATGCCCCTGCAGCTGCTGACCTCCAGCTCCCCCTGAAGGAGTTCAGGGTGGGGAGCAGAGACGGCCTCGGTGCTCAGGGAAAACTGGCAGGACAGGTCTTCAGAGAGTCAGTTATCCTCAGGAGCTGATTTTATGAGCCCAGTGCTGGCAGCTTCTCACATCTAGAAAAGCACTAGATTCCTTCCTGGCAACAGCTTCTCCTTCTGACCAGCAATCTTCTGCACACAGAGGTGGTTGACTGCAAATACTCCCCTTCGTCAAAATCACATGTACACTGACCTTTCCCCTTCCTCTTTCGAGCACCTTCTCGAGCTGTCTGAAATGCTGTCTTCCAGGCTATGGTCCTCATTTTGTGCCAAATAAAACATAACTCACAACTCCTGTGTTTGACAGAGGACGAGATGGTTGGATGGCATCACCAACTCAATGGACATGAGTTTGAGCAAACTCCAGGTGTTGGTGATGGACAGGGAGGCCTGGCGCACTGCAGTCCATGGGGTCGCAAAGAGTCGGACATGACTTAGTGACGAAACAACAAAAAAGGGAGACCAGAACTATTTTGTAAACATGAATACTCTTCAGTTTACCACTGATCAAAAATGGAAGTGACCACAGAAAGAAATTCTGTCTCAGTAGAGAAAACAATACACCTTGTGGGTCATCAGAGTCCAGTCCTGCCCAGTCGATGCCTTTGAGGTTTTATCACCACCTGCACGTCGGGCTGCACGGCCCGCTTGCATGTTTCGTCATCGCCAGATCCTCAGTCCTCCCCGTTTACTCAATACCTGGTATAATGCTCCAAACGTCAGTTTTCCCCATTTTCCTCTGTCCCTCCTGGCCGGCGGCTCAGTGCTGTCACTGCCCACGTCCTCCTCAGTCTGACAGAGCCCTGCACGTCGAGGGAGACACGGTGGCGGGAACTTCGGATGCGGGTCACTGCACGAGCCACGTGGTGCCTGCATCTCCCGAGCTCTGCTCCAGACCCAAGTGGCCTTGCCACGCAACCCTGATGTCTCCACAAACGGTCAATCCCACGGAAACTGGAGAAATCCAGCAGATGGCCACCGCGGCCTCACGTCACCATCTAGAGACCTGAGAACTCGACATCTAGAATCTTCTCAACTGATCTCCCTCAAGGCTCAAAACCCCGGGTTACTGTGGCCTCTGATCATCCACCAAGGAGATTTGGTCCCTGCCAGACCCAGCCACCAGACCTCATGCAAAGACTGGAACAAAGAGCTGACTGCATGTCATGGCTGGAGGCCACGTCCCTACAACATCCCAGCCCCCCAAGGTGTCCTCCCAACAAGCTCACAGCTTCTGGAAGAAGTGACATGTCCAGCAACACCGCCCAGCTCTGCAGGAGGGCAAGAGGCCAGGTCCAGCGGGCGAGCTCAATTGGGGGTCCCAGGGACCCGTGCCTCCTCTCTGACTCCCTTGGGCCCCGACACCCCACCTGCATTTTCCCTTTCAAAGGCCCAGCGGCCCCTGAGCCAGTCAGGTACCGTGCCGTGTCTATCTGACTCAACAAGCCCAAAGGAAGCTGCTGGTCAAACTTCAAAGACGGCAGCAGGCCGAGGGGCCCAGGCTTCTTCCCGGGGAGGCTGCCAGTTTCACAAAACAGGAAGGTCCAGGAGGCTCCAACCTGCCAGCAGGACGGGGAGACAGCTGAGCCCTGGCCTGGGCCCCGGAGTGCTCCCTCCCCGAGCACCCGAGGTGCTCAGACCCTACTCTGCAGCCTGGTCCCAGGTTCACACTCTCCCAGAACACCACGACCTGGGAGTCCGGGTCCCAGAGCCCTGCGGTGCGCACCCCCCACCCTCGCCCCGCCGAGCCAGAGGGGACCTTCTCCTGCAGCACCGCTCCCTTCCCTCCACCAGCCTGGTGTCTCTGCTGCCACCGCATCAGAGCCCCCAGCCCGGGTCAGAGGCTCCTGCCCAGGTCAGAGCCCCCAGCCCAGGTTCGGGGCACCCCCCCAATTAAGGTCTGGGGAAGCCACCTCATGTCCGGAGACCCACTCTAGTTCCGGGAGCCTCTCCACCATAGGTCTGGGGATCCCTAGCCCAGGTTAAACACCCCCTCCTCTGAAGACTGCACCCCAGGTCCTGAGACCCTCATCACAAGTCGCAGCCCCACCCCAGGTCAGAGCCCCCCAATCCAGGTCCAGATCCCCCACCCCAGGTCAGACCCCCCATCCAGGTCGGAGCCCCCACCCCAGGTTGGAGCCCGCCTCCCGGGAGGATCCTTCCCCCGGGTCCTACACGCCCCACCATCCGTGGCTCCGGCCCCGGTGGGCGCCCTGGGGGAGGGAGCCGACACTGCGGACCTCCTGGATGGCCAGGGGTCCTGGGCCCACCCGGACAGTATCCCCAAGGCCACAAGCAGGGGCAGGGGCCGCCTCCAGGGTCCTGAGAAGGGGTGGGGCGGGGGACCCCCAGAGGTGGCCTCGGGGCACCATGCACCCCAACCTCTCCCAGCACATCCCTGCCCTGGGGGGATCCTGCGGGCAGGGCTGGGCAGGCCCCTTCATGGAGAAGGCACCGTGGGCAGAGCACCGCCCACAGCCGCCGCGTGTCTCAGTGGCCTTGGGGCGTGGGGCTGGGGAGGCGGTGGTCTGGCCAGGCGGTCTCGGCTTGTTAGGCAGGGCGGGGGGCTGCTCCTGGAGGCTCTGCTGGCCCCGTGCAGGCCCCGAGTGCAGAGATGAGGAAAATACCAGGCGAGGGAGGGCTCAGGACACAGGGTGACAGACCTTGAAGGGCGAGAAGAGGGGCCAGGCTGTGAGGTGCCCTGGGGAGCCCTGGAACACACAGGTGCATGCCCAGTGGGCACTTCGAGGGCAGTGCCCTCTCTGGGGTCCCCTGGGGTCCTTCCTTGCAGACAGGCCGCCCAGACCCCGCAGGTATTACAGGCGGTTTCCCGCAGTGGGGCCTACGGAGGCCTGGCGGCCTGCCGCCTCCCCACTTATCAGACGGAGGGGGTTGCTGGGTGTGCCCCGTGGGGAGAGCGGACCATCAGAGATAAGCCCACAGTCCTTGCGCCATCTGTTCGCGTGGGCAGGGAGAGTCGGCTGGCAGAGGGGCTGTGTGTGCCAGGGAGTCGCCGCAGGCACCCTGCGGGGCAGCGGGAGGGCTGGCCCCGGCCATGGACGGTAGGGACCTCTTCCCGGTCCGTGTGTCCCTGAGCGGGGGAGAGGAAAGAGCAACTGGGCTCGTGCTGACCTTGTTTCTGTCTACAGGCGGTGGGCCGAGGCCTGGTGCTGGGGTTCCCGGCTTGGAGCTGGCCGCCCCTGAGGACACCCCTGCCCTCCGCCCTCCCTTGTGGACCCCGGTTCCACTGTCTCTGGGCTGCTTTCTGTGGCAGCATCTGCAGAGACGGGGCCTTCTGCGGAGAAGACGGGGCGGCTGGTCCGCCAGGGGCAGGGGTGGGGGCTGCAAGCGGCCTCTGGAGCTGCTGCCCCGCCAGGCCCTGTGGGCACTCGGAACGGCCAAGCCGCGCCGCCCGACGGGTGGACTCAAGAGAAACTTTTCCACCCACTTCTGCCAGGATGTCGGGTGACATTGAGCTCAGGGCGGCTCACTTGCCTTCTTGATGTGGGTGGCGGGGATCAGTGCGTGCTGGGGGACACGTAGTCAGCCCAGACCATCACAGGGCCGAGTGTGGCTGCAGGACCGCCCTGGAACGCAGGCAGCCTCCTGGGTGGCGCCCCCTCCACGGCTGGTCCTGGTCCTTCCTTCTGACGCCCCCCTCACCCCCGCAGGGCGGCAATGCTACGACCTCCTGGTGATTGGCGGTGGATCCGGCGGCTTGGCCTGTGCCAAGGAAGGTGCGTGTCCTGCGTCCCACATGCGGCTGGCACGGCGGGGCCTCCAGGGGCTGGAGCTGCGTCCCGCGTGCGTGCTCTCTGCTGCGGGCCTGGCCCCCCTCCCCAGGCAGCCGGTGACCCGCTTTCTCTCGCTGTAGATCATGTTGCATTTTCTGAAATTTCGTTTCGATGGACTCGCGCTGTGAGTATCCTTACTTCTGGGCCTCTCCCACGGGCCCTGTTTCGGGAGGTCATCTGCGTTGCTGCGTGTGTATCCGGAGTCTCGCCTCCTCATGCGGCTGCCTAGACTGTGTCTGTCTCACCTGTGGTTTCCCGTTTGGGGCTGTTGGAAACATTTGTGTGTGTGTGTGTGTCTGTGTGAATGCATGTTGTCAGTCTGCTGGAGGATTGCCTGAAAGTGGAACAGCTGGGTCATGTGGTGTCCCTCCCGTTTAGGTATCTTTCATTTCTTTCAGTGGTGTTTTGCCAGTTTGGTAAACGGTCTTTCACATCTTATGTCAGTTTTACCCGAGGGTCTCGTGTTTTTCAGACCGCTCTGTTGAGATGTAAGTCACACACCCTGGAGATCACTCGTCTAAACCACCTGATGCGGTGGGTTTTGCGTTCATAGAGTTGTGCAGCCGTCACCACCAAGTTTATTCTCTGTTGCTTTTCGCTTGTGCCGGTCTCTGTTGCCCAGGCTTTCCCTGGCTGCGGTGAGCAGGCCTGCTCTTTGCTGAGGGGCTTCTCACTGTGGCCGCTTCTTTGCTTGTGCCGCGTGGGTTCCAGGGCACACGTAGATCCTTCTCCACTGGGAGAGGGTCACCAGAAGGGGGACCGTGGCTTGGAGAGGTGGGTTCCCCAACCCGGAGGTGACGAGGACTTCACCCCACGCCTGCATGTTGACGCACAAGGGGCCGTGGGACTCTGCGCTGTCTGCGCTCTGGCATCGACTCTGATGAGAAATCTGCCGTTTTATCTTTCTTTGTTCCTCTGTTGTGTGTCTCTCTCCTCTGCTCGCTTTTAGGGTTTCTCTTTCCATTACTTTTGAGCAGTTTAACGATAGCGTGCCTTGGTGCCTGCCGAATTCTCTTCCTGCCGGTGTTCATCGAGCTCCGTGGGTCTGTGGATCAGGGGTCTCCGTCCTCTGGGCCCTAATGCCTGAGGTGGAGCTGATGTCATGGCAATAGAAATAAAGCGCACGTAAATGTGATGGGCTCAGATCGTCCCGAAACCATCCCCCCACACCATCC